GAGAGAGAGAGAGAGAGAGAGAGAGAGAGAGAGAGAGAGAGAGAGAGAGAGAGAGAGAGAGAGAGAGAGAGAGATCCGGGTCGCGCTGTCCTACTGCCTTTGCTTGCTTGCTTGCTGGCTGGCTGGCCATGATGACGTACATGACAGTGTGGCCGGCGGTGCCACGTCATTGTGAGTGCCTTATCCAAATGTGTCTGGTTTGTCCTTCGGGTCCGCCAGCCTGCTTGTTTGACTGTGCCACGTCATTGTCTGTGCCTTATCCAAAAATGTATCTGGTCAGACTGGTCTGTGTTTCTGTGTACACCAGCCAGGGTGTCCTTGATGTCAGCGGCACCACCTGCTTTTGTGTGCGTGCAATCTCGCCGGATCTCAGCAATTACGCGCGACTTGTTTTTTTGTCTGCGCTACCCTTCTCCGATTGGCTTACCAGTAATTGTCTTACCTTTTTTTTTTTTTTTTGGTATCCCTGTAATTGCATTACCTATTTTACTGGTATTACCTTTTTTTTTTTTCTTTTTTTTGCTGGTGTTACCTTACTTGTTACTGTTAGTTGCAGTATTACTGGCATTACCAGTAATACTAATTCGGAGTAAATTATTACTGATTACTGGTATGACAGAATTATTACTACCGTCTTCACCCGAATAGAACGCCCGGTCATTAGAGCCGCATTTGCAGCGATAATGACCGGGCGTTCTATTCGGGTGAAGACGGTAGTAATAACTACTTAATTGGACGTTGTAATTCGGAGTAAATTATTACTGGGTATTGGTATGACGTAATTATTACTACCGTCTTCACCCGAATATAACGCCCGGTCATTAGAGCTGTATTTGGCCCAACTTTCCGTCCGGATGCAGCGATAATGAGCGGGCGTTCTATTCGGGTGAAGACGGTAGTAATAACTACTTAATTGGAGGTTGGCCAGAGGCCGTATAGGCCTGGGCCGAAGTCCCATTAGCAGCGGTGAATTTCGGTAATGCCCGAACATGGACGTCTTTGTGGAGATGTGCGGTTGAGGAAACTCAACGCGATTTTCTGCACCTCTCCACAAACACGCCCAGGTTCAGGCGTTGAGGAAACTCAACGCTGCTAGCGGGACTTGGCCCCTGGGTAGCAGGGCAGAACCATTTAGACAGGGTAGGGAAAGGGATTTAGGGGGAAAAAAAAAAATAAATCCACTATGGAATCGTATGGATTGATTTATCCTTTTCATTTAAGTTAGGATTAATATCCTTTCGTAATTAGCAATTAAAAAATAATTTTTAGTTTTTATTTTTTTAATTCCTTTTTGGCCCGGCTGGGCAAGTGACCCGGGCCACTCTGGTAGCCTATCTATGGATTGATTTATCCTTTTCATTTTAAGTTAGGATTAAGGGAGGAGGACAAATGGCGGGATTGCGCCTGGTTGACTTTCTTGGCATATAATAATCAGATTATAAATAAATCCCTTCCTGCCCTGCTCGACGACACCGGCACACATGGTACATGCCGGCGTGCACCGATAAACAAGGAAAAAAAAAAAAGTGAAAAAAAAAAAAAGAAAAAAAAAAACAAGGAAAGCAAGATCTGACCTACCTGTCAAGGGCGAACTCGTCTTCACCAGTCACACTGAGCCACGTGGTACGTCGACGAGGGAAAGAGACATGCAGAATATTGTATGGGAGGGCCGCGCCTGACGTATTACATGTCCGCGGAATACCTGGCTATACTGCTGAAGCGACGTGTCCTGAACATGGGCTGATGATGAGATAGAGAGATGATGGGTCAGACCTTTCCCGGCCTGACAGCCGGGGCTAATGGCAAGCCTAAGTAGTGCGGTTGAGATCAAGGTCTGCGGACTCTGCGGTAAATGCCAGGTGAAACGCAGATCTGTTGTTGTCCAGGCCTCATCCTCTTACTTGCCCCCGGTGTCAGTCCATCCATCCGTTATGCCAGAACTGGAACACGTAACCTGTTCGTTAAGACTTGCCAGTGTGCACCATTTATTCCCATCGGCTGGGTTCCTCTCGTCGTATCCCCCAATAGGATGTCCCGGCCACAGTTACCCCCTCCCCGAACCTGAATCCTGAAGCCGGATCCAATGGCCGAAAACTTTGACAAATGCCCCCAGGACAAACACCCTTTGCACGCATGACCTTGTTAAAAAATGGCCGCATGCCATTGTGCATGGTGACTGATGCTAAATATAGATAACACCCCCAGTTCGCCTCCAGGAGAGATGCAACATTGCAAAGTGTGATTGACTGACCGTGAAAAAAAAACACCAAGAAAAACCGAAAGGGCACGGGTGCGGGCCCCGTAGTTTGTATGCACGTGGTTGGGTGTGTCTGTGCCGTCACGTGGTTGGGTGTTGGGTGTGTGTCCGCCGTCACGTGGTTGGGGGTGTGTGCGCCGTCATGCTCTCGCTATACACAGAACAAGAAAAACATAGCTGTGCCGAACTGTTTTGTCAGCCTTACTGTGGCGTTCTTGTCATGGGTTTTGGCCAACAGTCTGTCCTGGATGCATTTGACCGATGGACCAGGACTTGCCGAGAGCCTTACTTGGCATTCTTGTCAGGGGTTTTGGCCAGCAGTCTGTTCTTGTCAAGGGTTTTGGCCACATGGCCAAGAGGTAGCGATACACATGAGAAAAATGGTAAACTTTGCTCACACCAACCCCCTGCAATCCTGGCAGACTGATGGTCTAAACCCCTGACAAGAACAGGAGTAACTCGGAGAAACTAATCTGTCACAGCCATAAAACCCACTCTACACACCCACTCAGCCATGTATGTGTGGGACGTGACATGAGGATGTCTGAGAGATGATCAGAGCGTATAGTAGTCTAGATATAAGGACAGTGGCAACGTAGAAGAATATTGAAGGCTCGATTAGGATGGTAGAGTTTTATGTCTGCTCTGGCCGCAGAGTTCTTCCCTGAATAGTCCCATGCCAAATAAGTTGCCTACTCTTTAATCTTGTGGGGACGGTGGTGATTTCCACAGTGCATTTTTCTTTTTCACAGTGCATTGCCACTGTCCTTATGCACAGCTCTCTTAACTTCAGATTTCTTCACTCTTCTTATTCATTGAGTGCTGCAGGCATGGATGCCCAGTTGAGGATGTGGGTCCTACAAATGTGGAGGAGCATGCTTGTTGTCTGATCGTCTTCTCTACATTGGGTGTGTTGTTCGGCAGACAGCTTTCAACTGGCTGTCTCATGTGTTGTTTTGTGTTGTAGGGTACTGCCCTCTTGTGATTTCTAGCCATTATTTGGTTCTGAATGTGAGTTAACTACAAAGCTTTTATAGGCATTTCCAGCTGCACCCAATTAGATGCACGGGATGGATCGTCCCAAGTCTCTGGAATTCTGATGGATGTTATTTTGACATGGATGAAATATTGTGAAGAGGTTTGCAGTAGACCTATTCAGAAACATCACTGATAGTGGAGTAATCCTGCATACAAGAATAAATCGTGTTTGGCTGGGGCACATTCAATGTGGCAAACAATCGGGAAAAAAAAAAAAAAAAAAAAAAAAGAAAAGTGCCAATTCTTCTCTAGAAATCTAAACACGGCGATGAAACCATATGGATTTCCTTCAGACGCCCATGACTTGAAGGCTGCTGAGTGCGTGATTGTCTTCTGAGGAGGTCCAGAAGATTGCTTTTCTTCTTCAGCATGTGCTTTCTCGGACTAAAGTTGACTGCGTTTCTATTCCTAGAAATTTTCCTGTTGACCTAAAGAGGCAGCAATCTGAAATGAAGGGGCTGTGGAAACATTGAACGATTAAGGGGGCTGAATGGGGAGGGGATAAATCTTGCTAGATCTAGAAAGGAAGGGGACTATGGGGACATCCAAACATTGTGTGACAATATATAATGAGTCTAATTTGTGGTGGTATGTTAGAACTCAGAAGTGTATCTTTTGAAATGAGCCTCTTTCCTTGTCAAAATGTGCAAAGTCATTTGTAGGGTGTGTGTGTGTGTGTGTGTGTGTGTGTGTGTGTGTGTGTG